CTTGGTACACTTCTTGATTTTTGAGTGTGCTTCACACTCTTCAAAAACACATGCCCAAAAACGATCACCATGACCGCAGGCGAACCCTTCGGCATTGCACCCTCAAAACGAACAGAGGTTGGGCGAACTATGCAAAGGGACTTCATGGTGTCACTATTTCACACCACCACCACCACCGCCGCCACCGCCGCCATCGCCACCACCGCCACCAAACATGAAGACCGTCGCTAGTAAATCACCCGATTGCTGTTGGGATCATGATTTTCGTACCAGGTTTTTTTCCAGCTCAAACGTGCCAGTACAAGCTTACTAGCAGTACGTACTTACTGCATGGTCAAAAGTCAAAACACAAAAGTGCCGCACGCAGACACGCGCACTTGGTGTTTGGTGATGGGAAATGCCAGCAAGCCGGGTGTAGGCACCACTGGGTTTGAGTTCCTCGGCATTTGGGATTCTTGCTGAGTTCCTGTGCCCCTGCAAGTGCTTGTTAGGAACTCATTTCCAAAGGAGGCCGTTGGTGCCAAAGATGTTCTGGGGATGTGAGCGGTTGTTAACATCTCCAATGTTTGAAAAAGAGCTGTGGACCTGCGGATGGGCCGGGGATGGGCATTTCATAGCACAGTCCCGGATTCTGAATTGAAATATGCTGTGTATATATATATATATATTTATGTATTTAAATACACATGAATATTTGTAACATATATGTATATATATATATGTGTAAATGTTATAGGTAGATAAATAGATATAGATAGACAATTACCATATTGCTGTATCGCTCACACGACCTTGCAGCCAGCAGGTGTTGGACGCATCCGGAAGGCCGAGGTAGCACTTCAAGAAGTGCCTCGGCCAGCTTGGCGCCTGTGGCTGCTGCAGGAAGTGGGAGCTTTGTGTGTGCTTCTAGGAACCCTAAGGTTTCCTTCAAGCGGTCTTGTGGTTGAAGGCAAAAAATACTACAAGTCTCCTGACCTGGCCGAGTCGCAGTGTAGTCAGCTCAATCTCGCCAGGGAGGGGTTGTTTGCGAGTGTGGTCAAGTTTTGTTCAGGAACAAAATGTCAAACCACTCTGCGGCACTTCTGCACATTTGTCGAAAAACACAGTCTGACAGGATTTGAAGTATCTAGCATGAGCACATGAAGGTCATATGGTGGTGAGCATGCAGGTTGACAGGTTGACACGCGACGCACTGTTCAGGCCCAAACGGAGGCACCAAAAAGGGGTGCAGCGGTTTTCATGGTAGCGGAGCTCTGCCGGGCAGCCCCCGGCATCTCCAGGGAATCCCTTTTTGGGTGATCTTTGGGGGTTAGGAAGGTCCACCCAAAAGCCCCGGGTGGATACGACTGGTTGGGGTCACGCTCATGGCATCGGCTGGAGCTGGCTTGGAACAAGCCATTGGTGGTGATGGTGGACCTGCTGCCGCACAGGCAGCAAGCGCTTCGAATGGAGTGCAAGGACTGGTGCAAGCCCTCCATGGCTTGATAGAAGTTCAAAAGAGTTCAGGGTTCACGAAGCATTTGAGGCCTCCAACAAGTTTTCAACCAGAAAACAGAAGTGAAGAGCTTAGCAAATGGATGGACTGGAGGTTCCAATTCGAAACGTTCGTGGGTGCCGTTGATGCCAGCATGCTCAACCACATGAAGCAGGCTGAGAAAGAAGAAAACCCCATCAATGATGGCAACCCACAGATCCGAGCCCAATCCGAGAGGTTGTACTCCCTGCTCACTGGCCTGATGAAACAAAGGCCACTCAGGTTAGTTCGAGGGGTGAGCAACCAGAACGGCCTTGAAGCTTGGAGGATCCTGACTAAGGATCTGCAGCCCAGGACTCGTCAACGAAGCTTAGCACTGGTTCAAGCCCTCAATAAGGTCCAGTTTGATGCCACCAAGTCCGTGACCGAACAGCTTCCCCAGTATGATCTCCTGGTTCGTGAGTATGAGAGAAGTTCACAGACCACCTATCCAGATGATTTGAAGATTGCTTCAGTGGTGGCAGCCCTTCCTCCCAACCTCAGAGTCCACATACAAATGGCTTTGCAGGACGACACGACCTTCGAAGACCTGAGACAGAGGATCGAGCTCTATGAACAGGTCAGCCAGCGATGGATGTCTGAAGGAGGCCTGCAGCTTTCTGTACGACCGATGGCCGAGGTTGAGGCCAAGGGTGGACCAATGGAGGTGGATGCAGTGTGGTCAAAAGACGGTGGAAGAAAAGGTGGAAAGAAAGGAGGAAAGAAAGGCAAAGACAAGGGCAAGCAGAAAGGTAAGGGCAGCTGGTCCAAAGATGGAGGAAAGAAGGGCAAAGGAGGAAAGCCATTTGTCAAAGGTGATGGCAAGAAGGGCAAAGGCATGGGCACTTGTCACAACTGTGGCAAACCAGGCCACTATGCCAAGGACTGCTGGTCCAAGAAGGTGAGACGAGTTGAAGAAGAAGGTCAAGATGCAAAAGGGTCAGCAACAGTGACAACAAAGGACGGCCAGACCTCGGCGTCAACTGGCAGCTCAGCCCACACCGGAGGACGTTCGTCGACTGCGGGAGTCAGGCGGGTCAGACTGGTCACGCCGACGGGATTGGCCACTGTGGAGATTTTTGATCTCACCCAGGGTGACTCCAATGAGGAGCAAGAGGCATCCGAGGCAGAAGATGAGAACTCGGAGCTGACCATCTTTGCAGTGACAGAGATTGCCGAGACCTATGAGGCAATGGATGACGAGGAGACCTTCTATGACTGCGATGGGGAGTTGAAGGATGAGTTGAAGCCTCCATCGATGGAAGAGACAGAAGCCCAAACCTCAGGACGCAGAGATGATGGAGAGGCCAAGGCCATGGTTGAGCCTATGAAGATTTGCACGATCAAGAATGTTGTGGCATTGGAAGTTCCCTCCGTCATCATGACGATTGACTCCGGGGCAGATGTGTCAGTGGCTCCTGAACGGTTCTACAACCTTGGAGTTCCAGGTGCAGGCAAGCCCATTGAAATGATCGATGCACAAGGAGCCAAGATCTGCAGCAGAGGCAACCGCCGTCTACGACTGCAAGCCCAAACTCGTGATGGTGAAGTGATTGAATTCATTGAACAATTTGCATTGGGAGTTGGTGTGACCCATCCACTTTTGAGCTTTGGACGCCTTCTGAAGCAGGGATGGGGACTTTCCAAAGATGATCATGGTCTTTTCCTTGAACACCCAGAGAAGACCGTGAAGATTCCTGCAAGGTTAGAACGAAATTCGCTTGTTATGGATGTGAAGATTTGTGCAGTTCGAGCTGAAGGAGACGAGCCAGAGGAACTGCAAGTCAATGCAGTGAGTGGAGGACGAGAAGAAGCAGTTGAGAGTGGTGGTGACACAAGGCCACCAGAGCATCCATCCACGGCAGCAACAGGTGAGAGTGCTGCAGCAGCATGTGAGAAAGGTGACACTGAAGATGATGATGTGACATTGGAGCTGATGCACCAATTGTCAAATGAAGGTGATCCTGGTCGAGATGAAAGTCGGTCACCAGGTTACACCACAGAGGAGTCTGGCGACATCATGGTGAAAGGCAGCAGCAGTGAAGATGGTAAAGTGAAGGAGAAGTTGGCCCGTTGGGAAAGATGGAACTTCAAGTTCAAGGAGGTGAAGAAAGAACCAGTTGAGTTGTCAAGCCCTGAAGAGCAAGTTCGACCAGTCCGTGGAGCACCTCGACAGCTGCACGGATACATATCACGTGAACTGGGCTTGTTAGAACGACTTCCAGGCTGGCACGCATTACCCAATGGGATCGTTGTTCACTCAAAGCCCATGGCATCACACTTCCATGACCCAAGCTCAAGCTTTGGAGATGAATGGTGCGGACGACTGACGTTGGCAAAGATGACTGATGGAAGTGATCAATGGGAGCAGTTAGAGAACCTGGCCAATTACAAAGACACTCCACTGCCTTTCCGGCCATTGCCACATGGGCCACGGACAACACTGACGTTTGTGGCTCCAGGTCTGATCAAAGACTACTTCGTCGTCACTTCGGAGGTTCCAGTCAGCCAATATCCACTGCTTAATGGAGAGCCAGCATCATGGCCAGAAGCTGAGCAAGAAGACCAAGAAGGTGGCGAAATTCCATGGCTGGCAGCTGGAGGAGGAGAAAGGCCAGAGATTGCAGAAGATGTGCATTTTGTTGATCCTGATGAGCTTGAGGTCAACATCGATGAACTGACGTTCAACAAGGACAACAAGCTGAAAGATCTCCAGGACATGTGTCGGAAGCTTGGGTTGCCCACTTCAGGGTCGAAGGTGAAGGTGCTGAGAAGATTGCAACAATACAAGCACCATGAGGAGGAGAAGATTGCCTACGAGATTGCACAGCGCCTCTACAGTGAGTAGAGAAGAGAAGCAATCCCTGTGAAGACACCCAAGCTACCGACCAAACATGAACAAGAGCTTCATCAACTCACACATTTGCCTTTTCAGGCCTGGTGTCAGCAGTGTGTAGCAACAAGAGCAAAAGAGGATGTGAGAACTGATGCTGACAATGCAGATCATAAGGATCGTGGCCGCAACGTGATCAGCTTTGACTATGGCTACACATACACCTCTGGAGCAGCTGAAGAAAAGCAATGGGGAACTGCACTCTATGTAGCTGAATCTGAATCCAAAGCAGTGTTGCGCATCCCCGTCCAGGCCAAGGGCAGTCTGTCACTCAGGCAGATTACAGAGGAGTTGACCCGCTTCAGCATGCAAGTGTGCAATACACAGCCCATCGTATTTCAGTCAGATGGAGAACGGGCAACCAGGCAAATCCTCCGAGCTGTTCAACATGCTCGAGCCTCGATCGGACTGACCACGGAGATTCGGACGACCTCCCGGGAACAACATGCAAGCAATGGTCAGGCTGAGCGAACAGTCCAATCTGTCCGGAAGCTAGCAAACACACTACGGAGTTTTGCGGAGGAGAAGACGGGCATCAAAATTACAGGTGATGTGCATTGCTATCCCTGGAGCTTTCGTCATGCAGCCTGGTTGATGGTGAGATATCGTGTGATCAATGGCTGCACGTCCTTTGAAGCCCTGACAGACAGGAAATACAATGGAAAGGTGGCACTATGGGGTGAGACTGTCTTATTCAAGGATGTCACTGCCTTCCGCAACAAAGGAGATCCTGTCTACAAGAAAGGGCTATGGATGGGCAAAAGTGCATGGAGTGACAGCCACATCTGTCTTCCTCACCAATTTGATGGACAGATGTTGGTGAACAGCAAAGGCCTGCCTTGGCAATACTCCATACAGGGCATCTTGATGAAATCCCGTTTTGCAGCCCGGCAACGTCAAGCTGAGGCAGTTGAGGATGCTGAGGGAAACGAGATGATCGAGCAAGAGGCCAAGACTGTTGGTGAAGACGTTGCATTGGGCATGTATGGCCATGGTCCAGTGCTTGGTCAAGGAACACCAGGTTTTCCACTGGAAGGGTATCCCAGAACACCAGGGATCAACCCTAAACCAGCCACACCGGCGCCAAGAACACCAGCAAGGCCTGCAGTAGCACCAGCAACACCAGGGACTACAACGCAGACCTGGCGGGAGAAGGCAAAGGCAAGACCGTTTCCTACGACAACAGAGGATGAAAGTCCATCAAGGAAGATCAGCAGACCAATTCCTGAGTCTATGAGAGGTGAACCTGCACGGAACTTCATGCAGGACACTGAGGATGTGAGCCCAAAACGTCAGAAGACAGCTGAAGCAGCCAAGCCAGCAACCTCCGTGGAGACAGCGCGGCATGCACCAGGAAGCAGCTCAGTGATGACTTTGCCGCAAGGGTCATTGAAGAGAGAACTGTTTTCATTGCCTTGGGATGCTGAAGATGACGAGAAGCTGCGAATGAGTCCTAAGAAGAAGGTGCGAGCCATTCAAGAAGAATTCCCAGGAGGTGATGACATGCTGGCAGAAGAAATTTTGCAGTCAGCCCTAAACGATGTGAGTGAAGATGAAGAAGGAGAAGGTCATGCAAAAGAACGACCTCCAGATGTGTCAGAGGAGGAACTAGCAGCCTTGGATGATGAGGCATGCCGTCACGAAGAACGCCGCCTGGAGCAGATGGGAGTTCTGGAGAAGGTGAAAGACGGCGAACCAGACGAAGAAGGTTCCTATGTCCTCACCAGCAAAATGGTGAGGCTGGTTCAGGAGAGCTAGATTGGTTGGACGACAGTTCAAATGGAGCGTTTTCACTGAAGACTCCTTTGCACCAACCTCAGCTTCAGTGGTGGTCAGAATGTTGCTACGTCTACAAATGCAAACAGGATTAGCTCTCTACACGCTGGATGTCAAAGATGCCTTTTTGCTCATGGACCAACCCGCTGACGAGAAGGCCATGATCGTGACCAGCAACGGCAAATACAAGTTGAAGAAGAATTTGCCTGGTCAGAGGAACGCAGCTGCACAATGGTTCAAAGGATTTTTTTGGTGCAGTGGCCAGGAACTATGGCATGGTTCAGGACGTGATGCAGCCGACTATGATGAAGAAAGACAAGAAAGCCAAAGATGAAGACAATGGTCGACTATTCCTCACCATCCATGTCGATGATTTGCTGTTGATTGGTGATGAAGAAGAAGTTGAACGATTCATCAGCTACATGGAACAAAAGTCCTGGAAAGTGGAGAAGCGTGGTCCACTATACCAAGGAAACTTCAGCTACCTCAAGCGCAGCATGGAGATGATTGAGAATGGCATTGTGATCCGCCCAGACAAAGAGCACATCAAAGCATTGGCCAAGGTTACCAACGTGGAGAACCGAAAATTCCGGACCACTCCGGGAGACAGCAACTTCACAAAGTTGAGCAAGGATGATGATCCAATGGCAGACGAAGATGTGACGAAGTACAGGAGCGCTGTTGGAAAGATCTTGTACATTGCCCCAGATCGCCCTGACATCCAGTTTGTGGCTCAGGGACTAGCCAGTTTGATGCAAAAGCCGACCAAGAAGGCTTGGAGGGCAATGCAACATGTGAGCTCCTACTTGTTGGGGACCATTGACGAAGGCATTTTGCTGGAGCATGGTCCTAAAGGCAGAAGTGTCCTGAATGTCAACGAGGACACGCATGAATGGGAAGATGACTCCAAGGCCAACCTGCTCGAGGTGATCTGTGACGCCGACTATGCAGGGCAGCAAGCTACAAGAAAGTCAGTGAGCTCAGTGCAGCTGTACCTGAATGGAGGACTGATGGAATCCTATGTCAGGTGTCAAAGATGCATAGCACTTTCCTCTGGCGAGAGTGAATATGTGGCCATGGTTGGAGGATGCAGCGAAGGATTGTTCCTGAAGCATTGCTGGTCCTTTTTGAATGGAGAGGAGATCAACATGGTCTGCAGAAGTGATTCCTCAGCTGCTCGAGCGTTAGCTGGTCGGATTGGAGTCGGAAGAACTCGTCACATTGCAGCCGGCTTGTTGTGGCTGCAGGAGAAGACGAATGCCAAGGAGTTGAGAGTCACAGGAGTGCCCACGGCCATCAACGCACCAAGATCTTGAGCAAAGCGCGCATGAAGGGTTTGAAATTCCTCATCAAGATGGTAGATGGGGACAATGAGAAAATCGGCCAGCAAGAGTTTGAGGAGATCCATGCCAAAGAAGAGTTAAGAAGAACACGGGCAAACTAGCAAAAGCAGTTGGTGGAAATGCAAGGATCGCACTGGTCCTAGCTTTGACAATGCTGCAAGGTGGCAAAGCATCAGAAGTGCATGAGACAAAGGAGACCCAGGAAGAAGAAGAAGCATGGTGGATTCGGCCATTGATCACACTGGTGTGCCTAGCAATGGTTGGAGCCTTGAGCTTGACAAGATGGCTATGGGAGAAGGGAAGACAGTGGTTCAATGGAAGACGAGTCCACAACGACAGAAATGTGGAAGGAGAAGAGCCAGAAGAAGAGCAGCAGCCGCAGCAAATGGAAGATGAGACTGACATCGATAAGGTGAACACGCAATGGCAGATCGTGCGGCTGGAAGTGGCCCTGGCAGAAAAAGATGAGTACTTGAAGGAGATGACAGAAGAGAAGGATAGAATGATGCACGAGTACCTGAGGTTCGCAGACATGAATGTCAACCTCAGGGGTCAGCTGGAAGATCTTCGAGAAGAGAATTTTGGACTGACCAACCGACTTCTTCGTAGAGGAGGAAGCCATGATGAGAAAGAAGAGGAAATCCAAAGGCTGGATGAAGAGATCAAGCAAGTGAAGGAAGTGAATGTGCTGCTGAAGGCACGCATTGACGAGATGAACCAAGCATCCAACTCGAGGCTGAAAGAAAGCCTTGATGGTGTGAAGTTCGAGATGGAGCGAAAGCAATGGATGATGACGAATAGTGGTGAATGCTATCACTCAGAGACATGTTCACATGTGGCCAATAGAGCCAAGAAGGTGATTCGTCCCTGTCCGTACTGTGTGCCCACCACCATGAGGGCCGTGACAGGATTTGAAGTATCTAGCATGAGCACATGAAGGTCATATGGTGGTGAGCATGCAGGTTGACAGGTTGACACGCGACGCACTGTTCAGGCCCAAACGGAGGCACCAAAAAGGGGTGCAGCGGTTTTCACAGTCAATTCCGCATTTCGATCTATGGAGCAGCCTATAGGGGCCCGTAGACAGGCTTAATGATTAATGAATGTCCTATCCTCGTTTCAGTTCGTTTTTGCAGGTACACTTTGTTATTGCATGATCCTTTCCAATTCAGACATGCTGAAGCAAAAAGCAGCAGCATGATTCAGCATGATGTTGGAAGCAATAGCCTCGTTCATCTCGCTGAGGTTTCTCTTCCAGACCATGGTCGCGCGGCAGATGGGTACAGTATGGAAACTCTTGGGAGTCTCAGAGAGGCAAATCTCTTCCTTTTTTTTTCCATGGGAGGGGTGGGAGATGTTGCATGATGTTGCAGAACTGGACAACCATGGTGGATACGGGTAGTGGGCTCATACAAATCTGCATCTCAGGAGGCAGGCCACCTTTGAAGTTGCTACTGTATCTGCACCCTTTAACAGTGAACAACAGGTAGAAGGATGGCCGAGTGTCACCGTGGCGCGGCACGCTTAATCTCTTGAAGGCACATCATTTGTGCCCTGCAGCCAATCGAAACGTAGCTTTTGCCGTTCCTTTGGCAAGTTTTGGCGGTTCCAGCATGCAAAGCTAAGCCGCCTTGCCGCACTCGTTTAGCTGATGCCGAAGCCACTTGATTGTCCACAGCTAGCACCACGAATGTGCGCATGAGAAACGGTAGAGCACGACAACCGCAAACAGCAGGCCATGCTCTTCCTTCCCCTTCAGGCACCTGCGAAGAAGTCAGTCAGGATCATATCACACCACTACTGGGATTCAACTGTGGTCCAACTGCTTGGCATGTTTCAGGGAGATTCTTTGGCAGGCCTGCAGGCTCGTAAATGCACCAGGGTCCTGAGGGTTAGCCTTGGGCGCTACCCTTAGGTCTGTCCAAGATGTGTCAAGCGGACTCAAGCGGCCTTCCGGAAGCCTTGCGGTCACCCCTTCCGAGGCAACGGCGCGTTGCCACCAGATGAAGTGGAGAGATTTATCGAAGAGAACCGTCTCAATGAAAGGGCAGCTGAAGCGCTGAGAGCCTTGGCCAAGTATCCAAGTAGCCTCAGAAACGTAGCCAATCCAGGTGGATTCTTCAATGTTAACTCCAATGTTGCACCATCACAAGTTCACAAGCTGCTTGCTTTGTTGCTGGACACGAGGAGGCATTCTCCCAGAGGTGCAGATGGAGGCAAGTCTAATTTTGGGTCTTGCAGTTCGTCCTCTCAAGACAAGTTTGACTTCATTGAACCGATCCCCTAGCTGCCCTAGCTGCGAGCCTTTGGCCGAATGGTATGGAAAGCATTCTGGATATCAAAGCCACACCGTTGCCAAAGCCTGTGAGCGCAGGTTATGTCACAGGGAAGCCTAGCCACCTGCCGCGAACCCAGCGCAGGAGATCACCAGAACACACTGTAGAGTGCATCGCTTCCAACCCTGACGGCAGGATGCATTGGCCGAATTGCCAAAGCGCAAGCGGCCTTCAAGCAACAGCCACCAGCGAGATTGTGGCTTGTTCGCTCTGAGAGAGAGAGAGAGAGATTGTGTCCACGATGGGTGAGCATCTCGCACCAAAAACGTTCCCTAAGGACACTTACCCCTGCTCCCAACATTGAGGACGGCGACGTCGAGCAGCATCTTGACGCAATTGGCTCCCAGTATTTCAAGGGGTTTCCGTTGTGGCATCAATAATTCAGTGAAACAGCAAAAAGTTAAAGTGGGGGCAATTGGGGGCAGAATAGTTTTGCAAGAATTCGGATGGCATCGTTCTTGCAATTATATAGTTGTGGTCTACAGCTCTCAGGTTCATCGTTGAGAACGACCTAAGCGAACGAGCTGCAGAAGTTCTGAGGTCTGTCCCCAGGCAAATTCAAGAGCAGGTGCAGCACGCGAGGGTAACACACGGGTACACAAGAAGCCGCATGAATAGAAGACAGGAAGACATATCCGGTGCCCTTGCCAGTAGGAACACTACTGTAATAGGGAACAATGACAGTTACGTGAAAACGAGATTCCATAGATCGCATAAAAACGCTCTTGACACTTGATACATGAACACGCATATGCAGCCATACATGCAATATAGTTGTCAACATGCATCCGTGCATCCGTGCATTGTGCATCCGACCATCCATCCATGCATGCATGCATGCATGCAGGCATACAGTCATACACCCATGCATACATCCATACAGCCATCCATGCATGCATACATGCATCTAATAGATGCACAGATACACAGATGCAAAGATACATAGATGCATACGTACATGAGAGTCGGTGCGTATCGGAGTCTTGGATTTTTTGCCGGCTTTCCCGGCTTGCCCCTCTCCTTGTTGTCCTTTCTGCTACCTATTTTTGTCCCTTTACAGAATTTGCTTCCCTTGTGCCTACAGTGTGGTGCACAACTCACTCTCAATTGGCGCAGGTGCTGGAGCAGGGTCCCTTGCGGGGGTGTCGAGAGCCCAGTGCCAGCTGTATTGGTCGGATCTCGAAGGCCCAGCGCCTTGGTGAGAACTTGGGCATGTTAAGTACGAAACAACAAAGTAAAGAAGCCAGGGAAAAACGAATGGACCATTGACGGCATAAACAAATGACGAGCCGCTCAGAGTGACAGAGAGAGTGGCACGGGGGTAGTTGAGTCCATTGAGCCCCCCAAAAGGCTAATCCAGAAAGATAAGAAGACGGAAGGTGTTTAGGCCTTTTAAAGTGGACATTCAAGTGGCCATATTAAAGAGTCCCAAATTCATTCCGCTGTTCTTCCTTTAAAGAATGGAGAGGAGAGTTTGGACCCCGTACTGTAATCGAAACCTGAAGGATGTTGATCAATCACGTCACTAGGACAAGACATCAGCATTTTCAGCCTAGATTGGTGCTGATTGCATTCGCACGTGGCGCTACCCGCCGCGCCTATCAATAACAGCAGCACGGTTCATGCCAGATGACACATGAATATATATATATATAAATATATTCCTATTATATGATATATATATATATATTTGTACATGACATGCTATCAGACTGATTGGATTTGATTGCCCTTATAGCTAGATTGGAAGGATTGCATTGACAGCTGAGGAAGTCGACAAGGATGAACTGGTCTGCGGAAGGTCCATCAGCAAAGGAGTTGGAGGCTTTTATCCACGACAATAGTCTCAGTCCTGATCTTAAAGTCATTGATTCTGAGGGTTGTCAAGGCTCTCACAATCACTTTGCGACCAATTCAGTCAGAAACTCTAAGGCGATCGTGCAGTATCAATTTTGCACGAAGTGCCAGCAATGGTCCAGCGAGCTGTGCTCGATCAGGCGGGTATAGATGGTCTAGACGATGCACTTTGCGATTGTACTCAACATGGATGCATTACCTGTATATAAATATAATATTCACATGTAAGCACAAACGTTCCAATGCACGCTGTGAATGTCAAACCTCCACAGCACAGTCAGGAGTGTCCCGGCACAATTCAATGTGAGTATTGAATGAGTCCGCATTCAGTACACCTAAGTGATGATGTCGCAAAGGCTCCAAGCATTGAAACTAGTTACTTGACGCGGGGGCCCTTGCTGTTTCCACTGTCAGGGGAGCATGCGAGGCTGCCGTGATGCCAGTGCAGGTTGCATTGGGCGCATCAAGAAGGTCGGCGCCCATTTGCTGACTGGCGCCGAGACTTTCTGATCATGGGGGCTGTAGGATTAGTCAGTGCCAGTGGCAATGCCTTGCAACCTTAGATGCAATTTTTGTCACTTGCTTTTGGTGGGGCTGTGGCGGTTCGGCCAGGCACAGCAAGTCAAGTGCTCAGTGTTGTCTTCGAGCGTGTGGCATGGCATCCCGAATGGTTCCTGAGCACTGAGACTCATACAGACTTGCGTGGTCTTGCCACTATGGCTGATTGGAGCCGTGTGCCAGATCGTCATTGGTGAACCAAGGCGCTGAAGGATGGAACACTTGAACCTCGCTCGGGACAAAGAGGCTTGAGATGCCTCGCAGAGGGTCATAGAGTTAACAGTTAGAGCATGTTGAAAGTACGAGCAGACAGGATTGAGCTGGTTGCCAGGGCAAGAGGGCTGACATTT